TTTTCAGGCCTGAAATTGCCTTCTTCTTCTGCCGTTGGGAAGCTTTCGCATGGAAGAAGGCAGTGTTTCTATCCCCCTCCTTCAACCAATTTGCACGAGCCCGTTGAGCCCACATCACCGATTCTTTTTCAAGGAGCTCATCCACCTCTAATTGGGCATGACGCAACTCCTCCAAATCAACAGCACTAAGAATCGGTAGAGCTTGTAACCGTTGGATGTCTGCCAACTTTATATGCAGCTTACGTTGCACATTACCCAGAACCTGCCAATTCCAAGCTTGCAATTGAGAAGCCACTGCTCGCAATTTACCTGACACAAGCTCAACTCCAGAGAGATTACTGTCTTGGTGCCATTCCCTTGTAATGATGCCTTCACAATCCTCCTCTCGCAACCACATTGCTTCAAAACGATACAACTTTCGGTATTTCGGCCTGTGGGCCATCTGAGCTTTAACCTCTTCCAGATCTAACAATATAGGAAGATGGTCAGACGATGTACCTCCCAAATGGTATACCCGAGCCATCGGAAAAGAATTTAACCATCTCTCGTTAGCCACACATCTATCCAAACGTTCCCGGATCATACCATCCCCCGCTCGACCATTACACCAAGTGAAAGCCGCCCCTTCAAAACCCAAATCAGCTAAGTCATAGTCAGAAAGGACCTGGCGGAAGCCATCCATCTGCCTTTGACTTCTTGCCGCCATTCCAGATTTTTCATGGGCATACAAAATTTCGTTGAAATCTCTCGCACACAACCACGGCAGATGCATCTGATCCTGAAGGCGTCGCAACAGTTCCCACGAATCACTCCGTAGAGAAGCGATTGGGTTTCCATAGAACCCAGTAAAACGCCATGATGCAACCCCAGACTCAGAAAGGATAACTGAATCAACATGGCCTCTTGAAAAGCTCTTAATCTGTAGCTGAATTTCGCCAACCCATAATAATGCTAAACCCCCCGAGAGCCCCACACGATCAACCGTAAAACACCCCTGCAACCCAAGTTTACAACGAATCCTCTCCATAGCTCTAGCATCAAGTTTGGTTTCCACCAAGAAAACCATAGTAGGCACTTCCTTCTTCAACAAAAGCTGAAGAAAATGAACTGTCAGTGGGTTCCCAAGCCCACGGCAGTTCCAACAGATGATTTTCATGGCTGTCGGCGGGGCTGGGTCCCAGCCACCACCGTTGAATCCAGACCGACCACAAGATCATCAAGCCGAGCTCGTTTCTCCTTGGAATCACCTTCATCGGCCAGAACCTTCTTATCAATCAAGCTCCGTTTTTGTTTTTTAATTTATTTTAGATTAGATTATTTCTCACATATTTTTATGAAAAATGTCTCGTAGCTCAAATTTTGTGGCTCAAAAGTGGCTCAAATGGCCAAAACGACATCGTTTTGGCCATTTTTATGTTGTTCTGTACTCAAAACGACGTCGTTTTAGCCATTTGAGCCACTTTTGAGCCACAAAATTTGAGCTACGTAGCATTGTCGTATTTTTATTTAATAATAATAAAAAAAAGAGTTAGTTTTTAACCGATTTTCCAAAACAATCCTTAGTTTGAAGTTGTCGTCTCAAAATTGCAATTTCTAAATATTTGTTGCACATTTAATTTTTGTTAAATATTAAACAGTTGGAATTTTTTTTTTTACCATTAAAGAGGTTATAGGTTCAAATCTCATAAAGGCCAAACATTCTAAACTTTAGAATCGCTAGACGTTTATCTGGTTATTAATTTCAAGATCCCGAGATTAGTCAAGGTGCGCGTAAACAGGTCCAAATATCCGATTATAAAAAAAAAGTTGAGAATTTTGAATTCTTCCACAAAATGAGGAAATTTTATTTGAATTTGCAAAAAGGATCATGTTATTCCCAATCAAATTAATTTTTATTTAAATTTTTTCCAAGCAATTCGTACATATATAGATTTTTCATTTTTCATTTGTTTTCTCTCTTTCTTTTTCATTAGAAGATATCGTATTAAAGTCATTGAAATTATTCTTTTACCAAATTAGTTAGTGAATTTTGGACCATGCCACTTCAAAATGTAGAGCATTAAAGGCTCTTTTGAGAAAAATGTTAAAAGTTATATTTTAACTTTTAATTCATTTTAGATCACATCAGCTTTCGCATTTTTAATACGGATTTTTAAAAAAATTTAAAAAAACTAAAATTCTTAAAACAACCCTAAATAAAACACTTTGCCCCCATTTGAATTCGAGAGAGTTTCAAAAGCTGAAAGAAATATAGCAAAAGTTTAGGAATATATAAATTAATAATATAATTTGACACAAGTCTTTCACATAAGGTAAATTTTATCTTTTTGTAAATCTAACACTCATACGAAAGAATTGTATAGTTTTATAATTAGTTTTTGTGCAGATAGAAAAGCCTCAAATGCTTCCATATATGAGATGAATTCATTATTTCAAAATGTCATAGAGTGAGATTCGTACCCATATACTTTATTTTGTAACCACTTGAATCATATAGAGTGTGTGTTTGGGAAGTAGCTATTTTTAAATTTTTTTTTTATTTTAGTAGATTATTTTAGTTTTTGTATTTGAAAAGATGTGATGAATTTTTATTTGAATTATTATATTGAAAAATGTGTTTGAAGTTAAAATGATAAATTTATCCCTAATCCCATTTTTTTCAAAATTGATGTAAAGAGACAAAAGTATAATTTACTACCAGTAGGGCAGGCGGAATGGTGATAGTAGTAGGCTACAGTGCCACTGATTGTAGACTGCCAAGCTACATATTTTTAAAAAAAAAAAATATAAATCAATGATTCAACTATTTTTTGAGGCTAAAAAACTTTTTTCAAACTTTAGACTGAAATTCAGGAGAAGAAGGTGTTTATCAAAACTCCATGGGCCATTAAGCATCACCCGGCGTTTATCCGCTATATGGTGAAATTGAAACAGGAACAAATTATCCCCAATGGCATGGAAGTCCATCCCTTGCACTGGTCTCCAAATCTGCAGGAGCATAGACTTCATAGCCTCCGTATTGAAAGGTTGAGTGGTCAGCACCTTTCCCACTAAACCTAACCCAGCCCTCTCAGCAACGGACGTGGTTAACGACTCGTCCACGACCACAGTATCTTGTTCATCCGTCGTAAGAGTTAACCGACTAGCAAGATCGGCAATAGTGTCGACCATAACGCCAATCACAGCGGACCCAATATTCACCCTAGATGGCGAGAAAAACCTTGCACCGATGGGCAAGACCTCACCCCTACTGGAGATGCCCTAGAACATAATTTTAAAAAGCGATATTGGTTTCATACAAAGGGAGATGGGAATGGAATTCATAACACAAACAACTCACATTTTAAAAATAAATTTTATAATAACGAGTTGGTTATTAGACATTTTTTGATTTTTTATAAAAAATAAAATAATGATATGACATATATAAATATATTTATTAAATAAGTACATTTAGCTATAAGTACATTTAAGTAAATATATTTAGGCCTAGTTTGGAAAGACTAAATAAGTGTACTTTTTGACTTTTTATGAAATATGGGTTGAGTTTGGGTTGGGTTTGAAGTGATGTGTTAGAGAGGTGATATGACTTAGCCTCCGTTTGGGAAGTGGGTTGGCTTTTTAGCTTTTTGGTTTTTTTGACTATTTTAGCCTGGGCTTAAAAGCTTGGTTTGGGAAGGGCTTTTTGACTTTTTGGCTTTTTTGAGTTTTTTTGTGAGAGAAGAATGTAATGATTATGGGTTGGATGTGATGTTTTGTTTGTTATGGCTAAAATAGCCTATTTTGTTTTTTGTGACTAAAATAGCTAAAAAAACCTGCAAATCCACTTGCCAAACACAGACTTAAATAAAATGATGTGATTTAAATAGAATAATAATTTTTTAACTTTTTGTCTTTTTTTAATCATACCAAATTTAACCTTAGTTGCGCCTTAAGCAGCAATGAGTGAAAGGCTTGGAATTGTAATTGATGATGAATCAGCGACAACTTTTTAAAATTGCAACATAATTTTACTAACAAATTAACCTTCTATCTTTGATTAAAAAAGAAAAAAAAAAGTGCATTACTGCCCAAACAGCCCCTTAAAAAATCCCCTACCATGCTAATATACGCATTCCAATGGAATTTCTACTACTGTGATTTATGGGTTCTTTGGGAAACAATGGTAAAAAGTTAATTTTTAAATATTTTAGTTTTTTTAATTAAAAATGTCAGTTTTTTTACTCAAAATAATCTAATTTTCTGTAAAAAAAAAATCACTAAAAAAATTAAAAAATAAAAAAATTAATCTTTTACCAACTTCTTAAAAGATCGCTATTGCGTCCACACACCTATACCATCATGTTCGCATGCGTAGTGTCGGCGTTTCATGGTGTGCAACCTCAAAAAAGGTGTAAGTGTAAGGTTTAATTTTTTACAAAAGGTGTAAGTGTAAGGTATAAGGTGTAAGGTGTAAGTTGCACACCATAACCAAACCCAAAATAAAATAATGATATGACATATATAAATATACTTATTAAATAAGTACATTTAAATAAATATATTTATAGTTGCGCCTTAAGGAGCAATGAGTGAAAGGTTTGGAATTGTAATTGATGATGAATCAGCGACAACTTTTTAAAATTGCAACATAGTTTTACTAACAAATTAACCTTCTATCTTTGATAAAAAAAAGAAAAAAAAGTGCATTACTGCCCAAACAGCCCCTTAAAAAATCCCCTACCATGCTAATATACGCATTCCAATGGAATTTCTACTACTGTGATTTATGGGGTCTTTTGAAAACAATAGTAAAATGTCAATTTTTAAATTTTTTAGTTTTTTTAATTAAAAAAAGTCAGTTTTTTTTCTCAAAATAATCCAATTTGCTGTCAAAAAAAAATTACTAAAAAAATTAAAAAATTAATTTTTTATAAACTTCTTAAAACACCGCTATAGCGTCCACACACCTATACCATCATGTTCGCATGCGTAGTGTCGGCGTTTGTACACCGTACTAATAATATCATTTTTTTGAATTTGGAGTTTTATCGCTAAAATGCGCCTCCTCTTGGGAGGCTTCTCATGGTCTCTTGGGTTTCGAGCTCACCCCTCTCTCTCTTTCTCTCTCTCTACATTTTCTCTGTGTTATCTGAATTGGGTGTTCTCTCTTTGTAGAGCATGAACAGAGTACACACTTGAGTGGTTTGCTTTCAAACCTTCTCTTGAAGATTCTCACCTTTTCTTTTCTGTGCATTGTATGTTCTGGCATTTTATCAAAACCCTAATTTAAGTTCTTTTTTAATTTTTTGGCAGACAAAGGCAACAACAACTACAGCATTTGCAGTTCCTTCAGTGATCTGTCCTTTTAGCAGTTTTTGCCTCAGTACCATTGTTTTATTTTATTGCATTTTTGTTTCAATCTTATAATATTGCAAAATATAAAAGAAAAGACCAAGAGGGCTCTCGTGACTAGTTGAAAGGGAACAGTTGAGCTTTGAGCAGACACATTTTGATTTTTTAATTTTGATTTTTTAATTATTTATTTTTATTTTATTTTTAAAATTTTGAACATTTTGGGAAAAGGCTCGTTTGGTTGTGGAAATATGGAGATTTTGGACATGGGTGCTTTTGCTTTTTGCTGTTTTTATCTTTTTTAAGGTGATTGGGTCATTGGAATGACTGTTCATGTGGTGGGAAAAAAAGGCAAGAGATGTGGAGTGTGGAGTGTGGAGTGACTATGGTTATGTTCATTGGATGAAGATCTAAAGTTTGGCACAGTAAAATGGGCAAAATCTGAATCAGATAAATGAAAAGACTACCCATCTTTTGAATTTTGGTGAGAGCTTTTGTTGGGTTTGTGAGTTCTCAGGATTTGCAAAATGGGTATTGTTGTTTGATGTTCTTTAGTTCTGCTTTGAGGTTTCTGAATCAATTTTTATGTAAAAGTCTAGGATTAGAATAATGGGAATTTTAAGGTTTTTGGGGCTCTGATTGTGGTTATGAAGATTGTTTTGCTGAATGAATTGGGAGAGAACAGGGAAAGCATGCTGAATTGGAAATAATCTGCATCAACTTTTTTGGGTTTAGGGATGAAGATCATTGGCATGAAGATCATTTGAACTCAACAAAACCAAAGAAAGTGCACACAAACCGATTTAGAATTTGTAAGGTTTAACTCTACTTTGCGCTTCTTTTGATCTTTAAGGCGTGTTGTTACACAAAATTGGACCTGCATTTGGTTTTCTTAGACCTGTTTTGTTTACTAGTTAAGCTAGATAGCAAAAGCTTTTGTTTACGATATCCATATTGAAGAAATGGGCTGTGTTGCTTCAAGAATTGATAAAGAAGAGAGGGTAAGGATTTGCAAGGATAGGAAGATGTTAATGAAACAATTGGTGGGGTTTAGAGGAGAATTTGCTGATGCCCAATTGACTTATTTGAGATCACTGAAAAATACTGGAGTAACCCTTCGTCAGTTCACCGAGTCGGAGTCATTGGAACTTGAAAATACCTCCTTTGGCGACCTTCCTTTGCCTCCCTCACCACCTCCCCCTTTGCCTCCTTCCCCTCCTCCTCCCCCAACTTTTAGCCCAGACTCGAGGATGTTTGAGGATAAACAAAGGATGTTCGAGGATAAACAAAGGGTGGAAATTGCCCAAGAAGAAATCGTAGAGGTTGGTGAGGAAACTAGTTGCACACCGCCGCCTCCCCCAGTTCCTAGCTCAACCTGGGATTTTTGGGACCCTTTTTCCCCTTCTTCACTTCCTTGTGAAGAGAAGAGAGAATTTGTAGAACCAATTGAGGAGGAAAATTGGGCAGAGGCCAACGCTGAATTTGAGGAAGAAGAACAAGAGGAAAATATTGTTGACAAAAATGCTGCAAATCTGCTTCCTGAGAAGCACGAGACCATTGAGTTGGGTGACGATAGCTCATCAATGGTTAGCTGGCACACTAAAGACACTGCAGATATGGCCATGGTAGTCTGCAGGAGCAAGAAAACATTGGCAGGTATTGTTAAGGAGTTAGATGATTATTTCCTGAAAGCATCAGCAGGTGTCAAGGACATAGTGATTCTTGTGGACATCAATTCTAGTGAAACTTTCCGTTGGCAGAATTCAAAAGACAACAAGGGTAAATATTATCATCTTGCTCCATTGAAACAGTATAGCATTTTTTTTTAGTCTCCATTGTATATTGTCTGAGGAGACTTGCTTAGCTTAGCTACCATCAACTTTCTTTAGTGTTGCTCATAACATCTTCATTTGTATTACTCTTTTATATATTTATATTGTTGAGCCTGTTTATTTTCTGTAAAAAAGCTGGTTAGTTCCTATATCTATAACAGCATTTGTGTCTATTGTACAAGAGTGATGGCTTAGGAAGTTCTTGTAGTTGCTCTACTCATTTCTTATTTTGTACCTGGACCATGGTGAAGACAGTATTGAGATAAGAGCAATCCCAGCATAATAAGTGTTTCCTTATTTTTTTATGAAATTAATTTATCCTTTTGCTTTTGGTGGGTACTATTTCTGAAATGGATATAGATGTTTATGGTGTCATTGTGAAACATACTCTTGTACATCAAATTTCTTGTTTTATTACTGAATTCTGGTGAAGAATATAGCTGCTGAATCTCTAAATGTCTTACCTGTATACATGTATTGAATCATTCATTGTTATTTAATTACTTGCTCTTCTAGTTTCCAAGTGTCTCTTGGAGCTTATAGTACCTACCATTTCCAGAGAGGAGGGGCAGTTCTGCCAAGGTCTTTAATGCATTGACGTGGAGTTGGTCTTCTAAATCACTTCAATGTACAAGAAGTGCTGCAGAGTTCTGTGGTCCTAGTGAGCCATGCAGGCCCGGTGCTCATTGCATCACACTTGAAAAACTATATGCTCAAGAACAGAGACTCTACAAGGATGTTAAGGTATTTTTGCTATTTAATAATTTTAATTGGTTGATTAGTCCATAAAGAGTCTCTACGTACACCTTTATTTATACCATTATATTACTGTCTCTGTGTGTGTGGGATCCTGCTGCTTAAAATTCTTAAGAAGTTGAGGATGATATGTTAGTCACATCTCCATTAGGAGACTAAGGGTTGTTCTTGTTCACATTCCACATCAAATTTTCAAGTGGTTATCATTGGATGTTTTTGGCGGCTATATCCTTAATGGGTGGAAGTTATTTTTGAGAAACTGCTCATGATAAGGGTCCTAGTCAATTTAAAGGGCTTGTGATAACCATCATATTACTTGAAACCCTGATTACTCCACATCTATTTCAGATTGTGATTACCATTCTATTACTTCCAAATAACAGTCCTATCTATTCTATTGGTGAAATAGAATTGGCTTGAAAGCTCTTCCTCCACATCTCAATACAGTGTGAGATTGTGCATAAATGTATTTGTGGGTGTTTGAGCTTCTACTTCACACTTTGAACAACATGGTAGGAGTGAATTTCTACCGCTATAGTTGATTTCTTTCAATGGGTATTCAAGCCAATTTGTTGTTGTTGTTTGGGATGAATTAGTATCGAAGACATTGCTTTATTCAGTAGGTTTTTGTCATTAATATGGATTTCAGCTTCCCAATATTTTTGTGGCATGAGTGTACTCTTAATACAGAAACAACAATCTTCCTTTTACTTTCCATCAAGAAACTTCTTTGTTCTTTTGACTCTTTTTGTTTTGTTTATTTATTTATGTTCTGAAGTTTATCTTCTTCTTCTTCTTCTTGGATGGCAATCAGGTTACTTCATATTAACAGAATGACAGGAAACAAAATAAAATTTATGAATTTACTGCAGTTCCAAGACAGAAATCTTCCCACCACAATTGCACTTGTTAATCACTGTACTGCATTTGATTGATAGAAAAAGAGAACTTAAATAACTGAAATTTCTTGAATTACTGAATTTGAGGATTAGATCTTCGATATATGTTTCTGCCAGATACTGCTCAGAATTGTCTGGGTGTAGCAGCTATGATCCACTACAAGGATCAAAGATGAGTTACTGGTGTAATATGTTTCCTTGTGGGTGTTTACGCTAATGTCCCTTGAGATTTGGGGAAAATACATAAAGTCTCACAATTTTGGCATCCATTGAGATTTTAATTGACATTACACTAAGCTGCCCTTTTATCAGTAATTTGTTAGTCGTATCTTATCATGCGGATGAGAAAATGATGTTGTCATATCTTTTACATCAAAATATACATTTTGCCTTGTTTGTTTGTTTGTGTGTTTACATACCATCTGTGTTAGTTTCAGAAACTTCAACCTTACTAAAAAGGAGGTTGGTGTAATTATGCCAAACTTGTGGGGCTTATTGTATTTTTACTAAACCTCAAGGGTTGTCAATATAATTTACCCTTTCTTTGTATTTCTTTCTTTGTTGTCCTTTTCTGATATCCTTCTTCTCTTGTGGTAAATATTATTTTAATTTGTAGGATAAAGAGATTACTAAGTTAGAGCATGAGAAGAAATCCTCACTCCTCCAAAAGCAACAGGATGAAGACCACGACTGGACGAAGACTGAGAAAACTCGATTTATTGTTGAGAGTTTGCAGTCTGACATAATACATTTGGAAGAATCAATTAGTAGGTCTTGTTCGTCCATATCAGAGCTTATAGTTGAAGAGCTGCATCCTCAGCTTATCTCAATAATTTCTGGGTAGGGATCTGGATATTACAACTAAACATTCTTTCTTACTAATTCTTGATTTGGTGCTAAATTGGGTAAACTTTAGGTGTGATTGTTAAAAATTATAATTTGCTGAAAATAATTTCTCCAAAATGACTATATTTCTTTGTGATTTGTTTGGGAATATGGGTTTGTTTGTCATTTATCTCACATCTTACATTAGTTGAACAAGGATAGCTGTGAATTTTTGTCATGGGGTACACCCCTCACTGACAACATACAACACGTTAATTATTATTTGATATTCATGTATATGAATATTTAATTCAAAGACAACAAAGAAAATCAATGAATCCTTAGCCACTTCAATGTTGACATGATGATGTTGATATTCTGTGTCTGGAGAGAGAAATTCCCTATCTAGCTTTCAACCTCTTTTTATTTTTGTTGTTGCTGTCCTTTTCCCTTTATTTCATGTTGGCATGTTCTAAATGCTGAATATTCTCCATTTCCAGAGGTTTTTTAAAATTATTTTCTGTTAATTGTTCAGGCTGACGAGTATGTGGAGAACAATCTATGAGTGCCATCAAGTTCAGAATCATATATCCCAGCAAGTGAGTCATCTCACAAATCAGCAAAGCGTCGAACCAACTACTAATTATCATCGCCAGGCTGCAGCTCAGCTAAAAACAGAGGTTAATTCATGGTACAATAGCTTCTGCAAACTTATAAAAGCTCAAGGAGAGTATGTAAGAGCTCTCTGCAGGTGGATACAACTCACTGAGTGCTTTGCAGAGGACTCTCAACAGAGTGGTAGCTCATCTGCAGTGCATACCCTTTGCGAAGAATGGCAGCTGACCCTTGACAGGCTCCCGGATAAGGTATTTATACTATTTGATCTTATGTTCAAGCTCTTTACATTTCTTATTACATAATAGCTGATATCTGACTTCTATGTAGGTCCCGTTTGGTATCACTTCTAAATTAGTTTTTATGATTATAATTTTTTTTTTCCCCGATTATTATCTTAAAAGACTTGAAATAAATTGTAAATTCGTTCGATTCAACTTTTGATAATTGGTGAAAAAAGCTGAACTTATTTGGTTACAAATATGCAGAATGCTCTCAAGTTATAATTAATATGTATTTAAGAGTTATAAAGTAATTTTTTTAAAAAAGCTACAAATTGTAGCTTAAGAAAACCTCTTTTTATGGGGGGTCAAATAAGCTGAAAATGTCAAATAAGTTATAATATAAAATTGCAACAAAAAACAGTTAGGCAAAATTTTGTTTTCAAGCAAAGAAACTGAATAAGTTGACTTATAAGTGTTACCAAACGGGGCCATTATCAATTAACACCATACAAATACAAATACATATATACATATATATGGTTCAGTCCACTTCCTTTTAGAAAATTTGCAGCCCTCAGGGAGGAGTAGAACCAATAATTGGCTTATGTTTGCTAGTTCCAGACTCAGGTGGTATGTTGGTAGTCAAATTGTGTCTTGCAAATTTATTTATTTATTTTTATAAAAAAACTAGACTAATAACCACATTAGATATCTGAGCAGTTAGAAAATTATGATGATAGGTTGAATTAAGATCAGCTTACACAATAATGTCCTTTTTGGATTGTGGAAGTTGTTTTGTAGGTTTTCAAATAGGGTGATCTAGGAACATCCAATCATTGTTGTTTATTGGAATAGCGATCACTCGGGTAAAGAGATATGTCTAGTTGTATAACTGTGAATGAATTTGAATCAAGAGCATTTGGACACTCCACAAACCAGAACTGTTTATTAAGAGTTCAACCTGGTCAATATTTTATAATGGATTGGAAATATCTCGCTTGTTTTAGGGAAAAAAAAAACAGATGTTCATAGGCTGAGGTTACTTTTCTGAAGAACTCAAATATAATAAATGATTGAATTCTCTCATTTGTTGGATCTTTTATAACTGTTATTCTTTGTTCTCCCATCTGGTGGCCATGAAATCAAATTTATAAAACCATTTATCATTGCTTTAACCACTCTTTTTGTGCTTTAGTGGGAACCTGATGCACTAGGTCACCCTTTTACTCTTTCACATGCTTTATTATATAAGAATCCATTACAACTCATTTATCTCTACTATGTTCTACAAATACTTTATTTTATTTTTTTTAAATTTTTTTATGACAATCTGCCATGTTTACAGGTAGCATCAGAGGCCATTAAGACCTTTTTATCAGTTGTACATTCTATAGTCTTGCAGCAGGAAGAAGAACTCAACCTGCAGAAAAAATCGGACAAGCTTGAGAAAAGACTGCAAAGGGAGTTAAGTTCTCTGTCTGAAATGGAGATGAAGCTCGAGGGAAACTTTAATGTGGAAGATGCGAATTCCATTTTGAATCCAAAGCATCCTTTATCAGTCAAGCGCGCTAAAGTTGAGGCTCTGAAAAAACGAATGAATGACGAGAAGGCCAAGTATCATCATTCAGTCCAGGTTACCCGAGCCATGATTCTGAATAACCTACGAACAAGCCTCCCCAATGTGTTCCAGGCACTAATGGGATTTTCAAGTGCCTATGCACAGACCTTGGAGGCCATTCTTGGTCGTGCCAAACCAGTAGATTGTGATGTACCATTCAGCCCAACAGCAAACATGTTGAACTTTTAAGTTGATGAGATGTAGTAGCGAGTTGTCAGATCTTGTTTAAGAGTTCCGGTTTTGTGTTCTGATTCTGATTCTGATTCTGGTTCTGGTGCCAAGTTTACCAAGATGATGCTTCAGAACTTTAATGGGATTTATGTATATTTCTCGAAAACTAGAACCTTTTTGGATGATGAATGATAAATTTGATAGTATTCATCAGTATTGAAAACATCAATGGTGAAAAATAGTATTCGGAGACTCAGGGTTCTGAAAGGAAGAGGTGCTCGAGTTATTTTTCCTCTGTTTACTCCCACCCTTCAACCTCCACCTCTCCCCCACCACCACCACCACCACCATCTCATTCCATCCAAAGCCCCCTCCATCAGACTACAAAAACAAAACTCAGAATTCAAACTTACTGCCATTATTGAAGTCACTAGATTATTCCTTTTCTTGCACAAAACCATCATGTGAACCAAGTTGTATAGATGCGCTCACAAGCAATAAATTTTCTCACTTTCTATTTCCTAATGCCATTCCTCTAATGCTAGAACTGTAAACCGGAAGAGTCTAGTAAATTGTTTAAATTTGATTTGTTTATTTTCCGAGATAATCTCAAAGAGTTCGAATAGTTTGATTTTTTTATAAGGCATACAAGTTTATTAAGTCGAATAGCAAGTTATTTAAGTATAATAATGTGGGAACACAGTTCTTGCTACAATCACCCTCATCTTCATACGTAGAGAGAGAGAGAGAGAGAGAGAGAGAGGGAAAGTGTCACATCTTTCTCTCTATAGATGTGTAAATAAATATAGAAATTGGTGTGTTACTGTCCTTATTCTTTCTCAATAAAAAGTGTAAAATATAATTTAAGTATATGAAGCACCCAAGCTGCATTGAGGACTTCTAAAGTACAATTTATTGTATGCAGAAATTTTTAAGAGTGTAAAAATGTTAATATCACATCATTTTTTAAAAAAAATTATGTATACATTTTTTAAATGTAAATATGTTCATGATATAGAAATTTGTTCACATCATATTACTACCAGCAATATCTAATACCTGAAAGCCCAAAAAAAAAAACAACCAATATTAATAGTATTGCGTTTTTGTTTGGATTAATTACAATTAGACTCTTCAACTATTAGATAAAATCTATTTACTCCCCTCATCTTTGAGTCTATAAATTTTAACCCTTTTAACTATAAAAAAAAAAATAGTATTTTAACCTAAAAAACAGATATTTATACAGTATATATAGGCCTATTTTAGGAACTCGACTAAAGCTAATTTTTTGAATTTTTTGAATCACATTATCTCTATTTTTTTACATATTTTTTTTATAAAAAAAATCAAAAAATTAATTTTTAACTTACTATCTAAAATAAGCCATAGTTAAGGTGGTTAATACCTGTAGGCCCCTTTTGGTATATCTGTGAGAAAATGATTATAGATTATAATTTAACATATTATAGCTGTGAACATAAGCTGTTAACCTGTTTGGTGCAATTGTGGAATTATAGATTTAAGCAGTAGAGTGATATTTGGTTGATAAGCTGTAAAATAGCTTTTTACGGTATAATTGTCATTTTTGTCCTTATATGATAATTTTGTCATTTTTTTCAGTTTTAATTTTAAAAAATTATTTCATTAATAAAAGTTAATATAATTAGTATTAATTAGTAGCAATTAATATAAAAATTGATACATTTGATAAAAATGTAATGGAAGTATTATTGTAACAATTTTCTTTCCATTATAAATTAATTAGTATCAATTAATTGCTTAATTAGTATCAATTAATACTAAAATTATTAATTAGTATCAATTAATATTAATAATCAACAATTGTTATTAATTAGTATCAATTAATAATTAATTCATTACAAAAATATACAATATTAATTTTTTAATAATTAATACCAATTAATATTGATACCAATATAAAAATTGTTGATTTTTTTTCTTTTTTCTTCTCTTCTTTCTTTTTGTTAATTTTGTTTAATTTATTAATTCATTACATATTATTTTATTAATTTATTAACCGCAGCCGGTAGCTAGGGTTTCAACTCCGGAGAACAACGCAGATTGAGAGAGAGAGAGGGATGGCGGTGGTTAGAGTTTCAGATCGCAATCGCGATCGCAAATAGAGAGAAAGAGCACGAATCGATCTTGACGGTGGCAAACAACGCTGGAAAACAACGCAGCTAGAGAAAGAGAGATGGCAGTGGTTAGGTTTCAAATTGCGATCGCGATGGTAACGGGAGGTGACAACGGAGTAGATATTAAGAGAGAGAGCGAGTGTGAGAGAGAGAGAGAGAGAGAGAGAGAGAGAGAGAAGACAGATCGTGAAGAGAGAGAGAAAGAGAAGAGATAGCGGTTAGTGAGAGAGAGCTCTGGTTTGTTTGCCAGAAATCGCCTCTCTCTCTCTCTCTCTCTCACTCTCTCCAGTGAGCAAATGAACAATGTTTTGAGAAAATGAGTTTATATACTTGGATTTTTGGTAATAGTTGAAATTGACGATGGCCATATAAGTAATTTTGCTCATCGATTTTCAACTTTCCGTTAAAAGTTGAAATGGGAAAGCAGCTCCTCCCCTAATCAAAGAAAAAGCTAAAAATCAGCTTATAAAAAGGTATAATCTACACCATTAAGCTACACCAAATACTCAAAAATAACTTATTTTAAGCTATAAGTTGACTTGAGCTGAAAATAAATTGTGCTAAACAAGCACATAGATTCATAAGTAAGGGGTTGATGTAGCTATTACATAATGGCCTTGTTTAATAATGACTTTTTAAACTAAAATATATAATAAAGATAAAATAGGTTAAAATAATTACTAAGATAAAATGTCACATTTAAACAATAATTATTTCACTTTTTCTCTCACAATCATCAATCAATTATAAAAAAAAGCAATCAACTTTTAAAATACAATTTTTTTTAATCAGACTAAAATAATTAACAATTCAAAAAGCCAACTAAAATGACCAACTTTCCAAACGAGCCTAATAAATGAGGGGTTGAGATGATGATATTACCTATGGGTGTTTGCGGTTCAATTGCGGTCAGAAAACCTATAATCCGTTATTCGTCCGACGGATTGGCGTATTGAAAAAAATCAATCTGCATTCGTCTATCGGATTGATGGATTGGCTGATGGATGCGAATCGGTTTGGCGGTTTAAACTTTTACAAATTTTGAACATAATACAACTTGTGAACATTTTTTTTTATAACAATCCAACTCAATATAACCAAAAGATTATCAAGTAAATTGTCAAATATCAATAATAAATTCGTATAAAAAAATCATGCATTATCAAAACTATTTCATTACTTTTTTTTATTTAAAACTATTTAATTTGATTTTTTTTTAAAATGACAAAATTAAGTATTATATTTTTCACACAAAAATACCAAATATTAACACTAAGGTAGCGTTTGGTAACGTTTTTGGTGTATGCTTACAAAAAAATTTTAAACTAGTTTTTTTTTTTATTAGAAAAACATAAACTACAAACACATTTGGATTGAACAAAATATTTGAAAAATTTTAAAAACGCAAACTAAAAAATATGTTTGTTCATGCCTAAAATATTTATATTTATTTTTTGTTATTTATGACAACGTGATCATACACATTATAATTGAAAAAAAAAATTTAATTGGAAAAAGGGAAAAAATTATTTAAAAAAACTAATTGGAAAAAAAATTTGTTAGTCAAAATTTTAAATTTCTATTTAAAAACTAACATAACCTCATTTTTTGAGTTTACGTTTTTTTAATATACAATATTAAATTTTTTTGACATTTCTGATTCTGTTTTTATTAAAAAAATTTATTACAATTAATAATATAACAATTGTTATTTTTTTAATTTATTATTCTTTTTCATTACAATTAAATTGTGTCATTTATTTAATGGATATAAATTGCACAATTTATTAAATATTATTTTGATTAATTTATTTATTTTTTATTTCAATTTATTTTGTTCAATATTATTTTTATTATTTTGTTTTTAATTATTATTTTTGTTTAATTTATTAGTGTCAATTAACACTAAAATTATTAATTAGTATCAATTTCTTAATTAGTCTCAATTAATACTAAAATTATTAATTAGTATCAATTAATATTAATAATCAACAATTGTTATTAATTAGTATCAATTAATAATTAATTCATTACAAAAATATATAATATTAATTTTTTAATAATTAATACCAATTAATATTGATACCAATATAAAAATTGTTGATTTTTTTTTCTTTTTTTTTCTTCTTTCTTTTTGTTAATTTTGTTTAATTTATTAATTCATCACATATTATTTTTTTAATTTATTAACTGTAGCTGGTAGCTAGGGTTTCAACGCCGGAGAACAACGCAGATCGAGAGAGAGAGAGAGAGAGGGGGATGGCGGCGGTTAGAGTTTCAGATCGCAATCGCGATCATAAATAGAGAGAAAGAGCACGGTTCGATCTTGACGGTGGCAAACAACGCTGGAAAACAACGCAGCTAGAGAAAGAGAGATGGCAGTGGTTAGGTTTCAAATTGCGATCGCGATGGTAACGGGAGGTGACAACGGAGTAGATATTAAGAGAGAGAGAGAGAGAGAGAGAGAGAGAGAGAAGACAGATCGTGAAGAGAGAGAGAAAGAGAAGAGATAGCGGTTAGTGAGAGAGAGCTCTGGTTTGTTTGCCAGAAATCGCCTCTCTCTCTCTCTCTCTCTCTCTCTCTCTCCAGTGAGCAAATGAACAATGTTTTGAGAAAATGAGTTTATATACTTGGGTTTTTGGTAATAGTTGAAATTGACGATGGGCATTTAAGTAATTTTGCTCATCGATTTTCAACTTTCCGTTAAAAACTGAAATGGGAAAGCAGCTCCTCCCCTAATCAAAGAAAAAACTAAAAATCAACTTATAAAAAGGTATAATCTACACCATTAAGTTACACCAAATACTCAAAAATAACTTATTTTAAGCTATAAGTTGACTTGAGCTGAAAATAAATTGTGCCAAACAAACAAGCACATAGATTCATAAGTAAAGGGTTGATGTAACTATTATATAATGGCCCTGTTTAATAATGACTTTTTAAATTAAAATATATAATAAAGATAAAATATGTTAAAATAATTAATAAGATAAAATGTCACATTTAAATTATAATCATTTCACTTTTTTTCTCACAATTATCAATCAATTATAAAAAAAAGCAATCAACTTTTAAAATACAATTTTTTTTAATCAGACTAAAATAATTAACAATTCAAAAAGCCAACTAAAATGACTAACTTTCCAAACGAGCCTAATAAATGAGGGGTTGAGATGATGATATTACCTATGGGTGTTTGCGGTTCAATTGCGGTCAGAAAACCTATAATCCGTCATTCGTCCGACGGATTGGTGTATTGAAAAAAATCAATCCGCATTCGTCTATCGGATTGATGGATGCGAATTGAGCGGATTAATGGATTGGCTGATAGATGCGAATCGGTTTGGCAGTTTAAACTTTTATAAATTTTGAACATAATACAACTTGTGAACATTTTTTTTTATAACAATCCAACTCAATATAACCAAAAGATTATCAAGTAAATTGTCAAATATCAATAATAAATTCGTATAAAAAAATCATGCATTATCAAAACTATTTCATTATTTTTTTTTATTTAAAAACTATTTATTTGAATTTTTTTTAAAATGACAAAATTAAGTATTATATTTTTCACACAAAAATACCAAATATTAACACTAACGTCGCGTTTGGTAACGTTTTTGGTGTATGCTTACAAAAAAATTTTAAACTAGTTTTTTTTTTTTTTCGAAAAACATAAACTACAAACACATTTGGTTTGAACAAAATATTTGAAAAATTTTAAAAACACAAACTAAAAAATATGTTTGTTCATGCCTAAAATATTTATATTTATTTTTTGTTATTTATGACAACGTGATCATACACATTATAATTGAAAAAAAAAATTAATTGGAAAAAGGGAAAAAATTATTTAAAAAAACTAATTGGAAAAAAAATTTGTTAGTCAAAATTTTAAATTTCTATTTAAAAACTAACATAACCTCATTTTTTGAGTTTACGTTTTTTTCTCAAATTTACAAACTGAGACAACTATTTATAAGCCAAAAAGTTATCAAACAAGTTTTTATGACAGTTTTTAAATTTTTTGTAAATATAAAGTAAAAACTGAAAACGAAATGATCACCAAATAGGCCCATTAACATTTGATAAAAGAATTTTTAAATTAAAAATAAATTGAAAATACAATAGAATATTTAAACTATTTTTCAATTGAAAATACAAACCGAATATCTAAAAAAATTAAAAACACAAAGTCTTACAAATTATTAAGAATGCCGCGGTTTGACAGTTCGGTTGTTGACAAATGAATCTCAAATCTACTAACCATCCAAAATTAGACGAATTAAAAAAAATTAATCCACAATTATCTTCTTACCATCACAAATCCATCCAAAATGCGGCGAATCGATTTGATTAGACGAATTTAGCCGGATGAAAATATTAATATTAGCTAATAACTGGGGGTCTTGGTGTAATTATAATCAACCTTGTTATTTTGCTGTGGAAAAGTTTCAGCCGCCATTCACTGGTTTCTGGAATTCCGAAGCATTCGTCTGAGCCACACGCACACCCAAATGTTGAAGAGAGAGAGAGAGAGAGACTAGTTGAAGTTGAAAATCAAAGACCCATCTCCAAAACCCAACTTTTTAAACTTCAAATCCACTCTTTTGCCTCCTCCACCAGGTAAAATTTCACTTTTTTTCTATGTATCTTTGTTTCTTTTCTCTGATTCTTTTAGTATTTCCACGAATTTCAATGCCAACATGTCTTTTTTCTTTACTTGTCTTTCATTTTTGTTTTGTATAGTTCGCAATTGAAGCAATTATTAGCTTTGAAATAGTTAATAAAGTACTGAAGCATTTTAATATAGGTTGAGAAATAAGAATTAAGTTTTGATGGTTTTTTGTGCTGTTGAAGAATGGGAATATATTGTTGCGCCAAAAATGTTTGACAAATTGCCTGACCCAGTTTTTAACTTTTAAAGATTCAACAGGAATTAGTTCTTTTTAATCTTTCTTTTCTTGGTTTGACATTTTGCCTGGGCGGCTTTTTCTAATGAATTCGTGAATTTGAAGTGTTAGGCTTATTGTTCAAAGCTCACTCAAAACATATGATTATTCAAGTTCATCCTCCTTGCAAACAACTGGGTTGCTCATTTTTAAATCCCATTATCTACTTCCTGTGTCAAGAAGTCATCCTGCATTATAACATTTTTTAACATACTTAAATGAGGATCCATCAATAATACTTATTTGGGCAATGGAAAGCCTTCTGTTGATATTGTAACTTCACTTGTCTATGATGAGGATAAGCTCAAAGTTAGGGAGAGGGAAGACGCAGATGGGTCAGTGAAGTGGTTTGTAGCTTTTTGTGTTCGATAAAGTTTCGTTTCAATTAATGTCATTTTGTTAGGAGCCAAAATGCTTGTATACAGAGTAGTTCTTTTTGTTTTGACAGATCCTTATTGCAAAATTCATACCATTCCAAGAACTAAGATTTAAGGTACAAATCTATGGTCTTTTGTAACTTGTGTTCTTTCCACTTGGTATTTTGGCAACTGGGACCTATTACATTGACTATGCTTTGACTTCTCCCAAACTCACTTACTAATGCACTCTGGAAATGTTGCACAGTAATCAGAAGAAAGTAATTTTGCTTTGCTAAAAGATAGAGAAAGGAGTCTTTATCTTCTTCAACAAAAAATGCAGGAAGAAGAAGTAAACAGATGCCAGATTCAGGAATGGTACCCAAAATTTAAGTCAGTCTCTATCAAAACCTTGATTCATGAACTTCCAGAATCCTTTATTAAGTATCTTCTTGATGATTCTGGGCCCTTCCTTCTTCCTCTTTCCATATCAAATGAAGATGCCCTACCCAATAGAGTCCATAAACCTGAAGAGGAAGAAGATTATGTTGTATCAGAAGGATCTGGAGACGAATCAGAACAACCTTCACCAGCACCTTCTTTCCCAGAACTTGAATTGCAGATCAAGAAATCTATTGAATCCCTTGGGGGTGCTATCTTTCCCAAGTTGAATTGGAGTGCACCTAAAGACTCTGCTTGGATCAGCTCAACTGGAAGCCTCAAGTGCACCTCTTTCAGTGAGATCGCACTTTTGCTACGATCGTCTGACTCTCTTGTCCATGATCTGTGTCATGCATATGATTCGTGCAACGACAAGAGTTCATCAAGACCCTCAAGTTTCTTCCTAGCTCTTCGCAAGTGGTATCCCTCTCTCCGTCCAGAGATGGAATTTCGTTGCTTTGTACATTGTCAGCTCCTAGTTGGAATTTCCCAACGTGAGGTCACTGGATTTTATCCTGCCCTTCTTGAGAGGAAAAATGAGCTAGAAGTGGTGATTCGGGAATTTTTTACGGATGAAGTGAGGATGAAATTTGAGTCTGAAAATTACACGTTTGATGTTTATGTTAGAAAGGATGGGCAGGTTAAGCTTCTGGATTTTAACCCTTGGGGTGCATTTACACTGCCACTGCTGTTTACATGGGAGGAATTGGAGCAAAATTTTAATGAAAATGGTAATACTTCGGAGTTTCGAATAGTAGAGAGCCAGTGTGGAGTACGGCCCGGATTAAAAACTGCAGTTCCTTACGATTACTTAGACACCAGTCCAGGGAGTGGTTGGGATCAATTCCTGAGGAATGCTGATGAGGAGTTGCAACGCCAGATTCAGTCCTCTGGCAAAGGTGATTAAGGATTTTGCTTTCCCCATTTCTGAGGTTAGTGTGACAGTTAATACATGTCAAATATTAGCTAAATATTTCATGCGCCTGTCGATTTTGTGTTTGTACAAAACCTTCTACTATTGCACTTCTATCTCATGACCACTTTCCTCTTCATCTTTTTTGCCTGTTCTTTTATAATTGCTTAATGTGATGGATTTTCTATATAAATATATGTAAAATAATAAATAAAAAACGGTCTTTTGCTCATCTGACTCAAGCTTGCCTTGTCCTATGCTCTTCGGTGTTGTCTCACAAAAGTTTCAGGAGAACCTATTGTAATTTTGTGTGATGATCACTTTGCTATTATCTTGGGTTTGCTAGTTGATGGTTATGAAAAGTGATAGATCAATTTCAGTGATCCTGTCTATGTTGCAGATTTTATGTTCATTTGTCATTGTCAGCATGATAGAATCAGATCTAACCTCTCAATAGAAGGAAGATATGTATGTATAGGGTTCTACATTGTGTTGCAAGAATGTGTTCGTTCAGATGGATTAAAAGTTACTAGAATTCCAGAAAATTTGGGTTAAAAAAAGTTTATTCTTGATTGAATTAGCTAGTGTTTCACACGAAGACCATCTCAAATAACTCTCCAAAAATCTCGCCCTCTCCGAGACCAGTAATTGAAAACTTGGAAACTTGATTTTATTTTGCTTGATTGCATTAATGAATAATTCACACAGATCATCTCAAACATCCAATAAACTCTTTTCAGTTCCAGTGTAATCCATATCCTTGGATAATCCAAATCCCCTAAAGTTACGTATTGCTGTATTTTATAGAGTAAATTATCTATTGGTTTAGATAACAATTTACACTATAATTCATTATAAGTGTATATACCTATGTATTTATTTCTTCATTTCTAATCTTAAGCTTATCCTGTGCACAATTATTAACCAATAAAAAACTTACTTTGTAAGTTACTGCACAAATTAACCATAGAAGAGTCAGACTCCTCCTCGGATGGGGTACTTACTGGGTCAACTTGTAAGCAAGGTTCAAAAGAGTAGTAGTTAATTAATGCCATTAAGGAGGAAGCTCATCTAATGGATATACCAATCCAGTTAGGCTCTACAAAAATGTTCTGGGCAGTAATCTTTGCATTTACTCGATTTTTACTAGAATACTCACTGATAGTACAGCTGATGTACTTCATACAGCAAGACAATTACTAGGAGGGAATTATTTCGGTGTTTTGGATGAGGAATTCTGATATCTATTCGAGTGTTTTCTGTATCCTGTTTGTGCTAAATCTTGTGGTATTCTTCAAATGAAAGAACATAATGCTTTGGCCAACAATGACATTAGTTTCTGCATTTGTTTGTTTATTGAAATTCTTGTTTTCTCTTCTGAATTCTAACATTGTTTGAAACTTGTGATTGATAGATTACTCTAGCTTTGTGTGACAAAAAATATGGACTTTTCTTGTGCAGCTCATAACTGAGGTGGAGGATTTCAAGCCTACGAGCTATCTGTGTTGTCACGCCCAAGGAAAATGGGTATTCTATTACCCATCTTAAGAAGGAAGTGATGTGAATTTTCAAAACTCAGTGATTTCAATTTAGAATGCAAATAAATTTAGTTGATTCACTGAAAGCTTTACTGAAAGCACAAATGATAGTAGTGGACCTGAGTTCAAACTGGCTTCAGAGTGAGCCTTCCGTTGCATTCAATACTGTAATGAGTTCATTGTTTGTGACATTCTGGTTGTTCTTGTTCGGATGTGTTTTTGCATACTATCCTTAGATTGTGTTTGGATCATAGATTTGGATTTCATTGCTAAATTTCTACCCAAATCCATGATCTAAACACAACCTTAAAGAAATTATTAACTGGTGACTGCTCAAAATAACGATGTTGGAGTTGGATTATGGGTATGGTTAGAGAGGGTACAGCCTGGCAGGTTGTCTACAATCTGCAAAACAAACATTTTAGATCTGTGTAGCTGGTGACTGCTCAAATGCAAGGCCTGAAGCTGAATGGTTGGGCAGTTTTTGAGGTGCCTTCCGGTGAAAAAAAAAAAGAAAAAGAAAAATTAAACATGTTTATATTACTAAAAACAAAAATTAAAAAACATGTTGTCCACGTGCTTTGAAAACAAATAAGGTGATAGCTGAAAGAGGCTGTCAACGGTCAGAATAATAGCTGGCCATGTAGCATGGTGATCGGAGATGATTTCGTTTGGAGGGGGTTTTCAATGAGGTAATCTCAGACAATGGTAGTTGTAAGCGGCCGAAGGTGAGGATGGCTAAACAATGAATGAAAATTTCGTTTCTAAAAAAATTCATTTTGTAGCCGGTTATAGTGATGAGCGGTAGGTGGTTGATAAACATGGTGGGAGGGAATGAAAGAATGAAAGAATTTGATAACTTCTATAAGTATTGTTACAATTTTTTGAAAACAAAGATAAATAACAAGTTTATTTATTTATTTATTACAATTTTCAAAATTTTATAAATAAAAACTTATAAATATAAACGTTATTAAACAGATCCTAAACTATTATGTTCTCTGTTTTCTATTATCATTTTGAGTTGAATCAGATAAAAACTGATGCAAAATAACTACATAATAGAAAATTATTACTCTGCCACATAGAAATATCACAACAGTACTGTAAAAATCCCATTTAACAAAACACAAATGTCTCGCAAGCATATTGGAAGTTTTCCAATACCACATTGCATTTCAAGCATAGAAAACACCTGACAGATTGCAACATATCAACCAGCAAAGTAATTATGTAAGAAATGCATTGTTGGAATCACTTTCCAAACTTAACAAGGGCCACTATTAGCACTCCATAAATTATTTTAGATTCCTCATTTCTTTGAGCTCCTACTTATAAATTTTGAAACTCTCAAAATTTTATTTTCTCCTCAAATAATATCAAAATTACCCTTGTGAAAATATTTCATCCATTGAATGCACACCCTTGCACACTCAAAAAAAGCCCCTATTCCAAAAAATCCTAACAAAATTCACCAAGAAGAAGAAGAGCCAATGTGATTATTGTCTCTGCTGTCTCATCATCCACCATTATCACAGTTGGTATGCTCTCTTTCCCCCCTCTCTCTCTCTCTATATATATATATATATATACATAATATATACATAATTTTTTAGTTTTCTCGTAATAATTTCTTCTCTTATAGGAAAAAAAAACTTATAATAATTGGTTTGGTTGGTTTTGTTAGTAGATAATATAAAATTGTGAGTTTAGCAGAGAATTACGCAACAATATTATCAAAGCTACATGATGAAAGAATAACTTTTTAACCTGATAATGGATTTGGGCTATTTCTGATAATTTTTGCAAATGTTAAAAATTTTGACCATTCAATATGTTAAGAAATTTCCATGTTCGGGCCTATATTCCCGAATTTGAAAAAATAAAAACTTTTGCAAGCGTTAACAATTTTGACCGTTCAATGTGTTAAAAAATTTTCATGTTCGAACCTACATTCCCGAACATTACTTATTTGCTTAGAAATGCCTTCCCGAACAAATAAGTAATGTTCTGGACTGTATTCCCGAACTTAAAAAAATGAAAACCTTTACAAGCGTTAACAATTTTAACCGTTTAATGTGTTAAGAAATTTCCTTGTTCGAACTTGCATTCCCGAACATTACTTATTTGTTTGGGAATGTCTTTCCGAACAAATAAATAATGTTCGGACCTGAGTTCTCGAATTTCGGTTATATGTTCGAGAGTTCAGTCCCGAAAAAATAACAAACATATTTTATTATTTTTGCCATTTTTTTTCAAAAAACTTACTCTTACAAGACCAATCTCCTCTAAGTTAAAGACAACATCAAAGCTATGAACCTTCTCTAACTTTTATTGTTGTACTCCTCTCGTCTTATAGAGGAGTTGTTACCAAAAAAACTTCTACTCATAATCATTGCCGGAGAAGTATAGATAGTCAAATGGTTGCCACTATTACCGCCGAAATATTACCGCCAAAGGATTTTCAAAGTTTTGAGGGTGAGTAGCTTTTGAAGGTGGGATTTGAAAAAGACAGATGGTGGTGATAGAGGTGGGTGCTCTCATAAACCCTAATTCATGATGTAGTATGTGTGTGCAAATTTAATTGTGAGATGTAATATCCCAAAATTAATGATGTCCTTTATAGTAATTTTATTTGAAATTATTATTGTAATTAAAAAAATTTAAAAATTGAAGAGTTCAAAATAATTTATGAGGTGCTAATAATGACACTCACTTAAAATTAAGGATAAATTACAAATACACCACTGAAATTTGATTAAAATACAAATCGTCCCTCATGTTTACATCACACCCTAAAATTTTTAATTTCATAACAAATCACTCATTTTATCAATAAATCATCAAGTCAATTAACAATTTTTAATGATGTTACAAATTTGTTTCAATAAATAATTTAAGTAATTTTATTATTGTATAAAAGAGCAATTATGAATTTCTTTTTTCAATTAATTCTGTTAAATAAAAAATTTTAACAAAAGAGTAACAATTTGTATTTTAAGCAAATATCAAGAAGTGTATTTGTAATTTACTCTAAAATTAAAGTAAAAAAGCCAACAGAGATAAGAGGGGTCGGTCATACAAGCATATGTGTAGGCTAAGCTCCAGAAAACATTTATCTTACAAACATAAAGACTATATCAAGAATATAACCAGAAAACGAAGTGAAAGTTACAGATTTGATTTAACAACAAATCCGAAAGAAAGAAAGAAAAGTGCAGAGACAAACCAGGTCACATTATCAATGCAACCTTGTCAACTCTTCTACTCTCTTCATAAGCTCCTCCACTGAAACACACATTGCCTTCGATATCTCTTCCATTCGAACCCTTCCCAGATCAAGGAATGACTCGATTAGATCTCCATCCAAGAAATTTTTGGCATCTACGGTCTTTTTCTCATTGTAGAATGATCTCCATTGCTCGTGACTCAATCCTCCAACACCCTTTATCACTTTCCTCAAGTTTGATTGGAGTTTCTCGAAGAAGAGGTACTGGTCATGAGGAAGGGAGGCAATGACCCCGATAACACCGTTAACCGTGCCAAAAATTACAGTTGGAATCTGACCCACATCGGAATCTGGCAAGCGCATGACAAGAGAGCCGTGTCGGAACCGGTTGACGAATTCACCGAGGTGGTACTCTCCGACAACCTCAAGACGGCCACGCTCCTCATCAGTGGCACCTTCACTGTTCTTTCGGACAGTGAAGAGGTTGAAATTATTCTCTCCACCAAGGTAAATTTCATCATCAAGGATCTCAACGGCTGACATCCAATTTGCATTGTAATCGCGGGCTCGTTCCTCAATTGCACCCTCCTCATGCTGAAGACACCACCAACTCAAGAGCATTAGCAAGAAAATAGAATAAAACTATACAACTAATTTGTCAAATTCATGGCACATCTAAACCGCCGACAGAAAGGACAAGAAATACCCACATGAAGGGGTCCACCTAGACACCTTTAGAAGTACTAGCAAAATAAAAGGAGATTCACAATTACATATACTATGAATGGATTGGTCACTTCACCTTATAGATTAACAAGGAGATTGATTTCATCAGATCACCAACAACAATGAAATCTCCGCGAGTTTGAACATAAAGGGCAAGTATGTGTCCGTGATGCCCACATTCAGACTGCAATTCCCGGCTACCATCATCACGGAGCATCCACTTGTACAACTGAATCTTTTGATTGATAGCAGCAAGAAGCTTTCCATTAAAGGCATTTACAGAGTAAACAGCCCCCTTGGTTTCCTTCTCGGCAATTAGCTGTAACTTCTGATCTTCAACTATGAATACCAGTATCCGTCCCTGTGGTAGAAGGAGATTCAAAATAAGAGGTAAGCAATTTGCAAAACTTTGGTTCTATGTGAGCAAAACAGGACCTTCTATGGGTGATATGTAGGAATAGGATTAAAACAGAAAATTATGGTTGCCCAAGAATTCCATTCTAGAATATCCAGTACAGCAGAACTATGTGCCCGTGTCATCTCACTCAAAAAACCAATAATAGAGTGCGAATGGGCAAGGCTCAGCAGCATTTGTTATGCATATTTGACTATTGTACTTGTTCTAGAAGTTTCTACCTATCATTCAGGGACAAAGCTAGAACTTTTTCCTTGGGGGCCTCAGAAAGGATTCAGTTAATTCCATTATGACAAGTACTTTACTTAAAAAAAATTCTGCAATGAAATTATCACTGAAGAAAATAGATTAAAATCATATGTTCATACGTGCTTTTATTTTATTGGATGTCATATAAATGTTGGATGCTTTGTAAGATACAGATTCATTACATAGGGCTATTTTCAATTGTAAGATCCTCACATGGAACTCATCTAATGGAAGAAGATGAAGCCCCAACGCTTCGTTAGTTCAAAAATTCAATAGTTTAAAAAGCAATTGAGGTTAGTAAATGACGATAACCTGCATGACATCTTACCTTGGTTGGTTCATTCTCCTCAGGCATAACATAAGCAGTCCCAACACAGTAATACACATTATTATCATCAGAAAAGGAGCAGCTAAGTATGGAGCAACCATACTCGTATTGGTCAAGTGGGTATGTTGATATGAACTCAAAGGTTTGGTCATCTAGCAAGCGGATAAAGTGCATTTCAGCCTCTTCCGTATTTGATTGGTTATACTTCATACTACATATGGCAAAGGTCCTAGTCTGCTCTTGATGACATATACGGCGTGCATGCTCCCCAAGAGGGATGGAGCGGATGTGAAGCTTTTGGATATCATCTATCGTGCCAATTGTAAGCTCCCCTTCTTTGGCAATTGCAAGGCTGTGGACAGCAAATGGACCACTCATTAGAAATCTTAACTAGAAAAGAGAAAAATGTGTTTAAAAAAATACAGTTTTAGCTTTAAACCAGCATAACATTGTACAAGAAAATAGACCAGGCAAAAATTGAGAGAATCAACGACGCATGAACCAATTGTAATGGTAACATTTGATAATTATAGAAAGCAATATTACATTAGGGAATCCAATGTCCGTAATACATTATAGTTAGATCCATTCTAGCACTAGCTAATTGCTTACCAAAAAAGAAAAAAAAAACCACCACAATTATGCAAGTATACACGTCCTAAGAGAGATCACTACACCTTTTCTTCCAAAGCAATTATTCTTTAATGACAGAAAACCACAACAGTGAAGAGAGAGAGAGTTCAACGGTAGGAGTGATGACTTTGACCAAAACAAACTGTAGAGCTAAAATTACAAAGAAGTGGCATAGAATTACTTTTAGAAGCACGGACTAGAATAAAAATTAAAAATTTCTCCTTTTCCCATTCAAGAAGTGTGTTTAAGCAAAAATACAAAAGAATCAAGTTCCAACATTTCAATTGACAATGATGAGGGGGGTAAAAACTTAAAATTAAGAGAGAGAGCCAAATTTACCTGTCTGGAAAAGCAGCAGAGTTGAAAGGGCACATATGACTGACCTCTTTCAAATTTACATTGCTGTAGAGTAATTTCTTGTTACTACTGTAAATGACAGTTGGCCTATCTGATGCAGCAAATACATGTGTTGTATTCTTTGATGAGAAAGTGCGGAGTGTTATAGGCTGGGTCCCAAGGGACACCTTTTTCCTATCTGTCAACTCCCCAGTGCTCATGTTCAATAAAAAGTTTAAGAGATGACCATCTCCAAGGGCACATAGCAAATAAGATATCTGAAAAGAAATCAAGCAATGGGGGCATGAAGTAAGGATAAACTGCGTAGATATATTTTACAAATAACATGTTGACGAAAGTGGCACACGCTCAGTTCCAAAGCCATCCCAGCGTCATTTTTCAGGAATCTCAATGCCAGATTGGTCCACCATTATTATGGTTCAAAACAATGCTTAAACAAAAGGGATCAAAGATCCAAAATTTTAAGTGGTTTATAATGGAAGACCCAGTCTAGAACGTGTGCCATTTTCATATATTGCAGTTGTAGAGCATTCTGAATCTATAATAGAAAATCTTACATTCCCTATCACAAGCAATCTGCATGCATGCAGATCAAGATAAATACAGAACACAGAGGCCCATAAAGCTTACGCATAAAACATACCCCTTCAAATGAACATAAAAGAACAGAGCGTGGTATAATCTCTCCTCCCAAATTTTCCTTCGTAATGAGATTCAAGTCAGGTAGAGAAAATATTCTAACACTTATATCAGTCCACATTCCCACCGCAGCTAGCTGACTGCAGTTGGGATTTTCACCGATGGGATTTATATCAAGGCATGATATATCATACTCCAATTGTGCATGTTTCACTTCTGTCAATATCCCATCACCAATTTCTAGGTACACTAAATGACCACCACCAGTAGCCAATAAAACCTGTTAAGAGAAAACGTACAATGAGAGGTCAAAGCTTGTAACATAACACTATATTGGATTAAGAGAAACTAATCATAAAGACAAAATGCTATGTCGACAATACAAAAAAGGATTCACTGTAGAGATCGCAATCACAAATTCATGCTCTTGAAAACATTTAACATGTTCAAAGTGCTGTCAAGCTAATAAGCCTCAGCTGCCAACCACCAAGAATAAGTACAGAGGAATAACAACGTACAGACTTCATGGGAATTACACAGACGAGACAATCTCTGGAAAGTATACAAAATAATGCATTTGAAACCTCTAAATCCCTCCATGAGTAATTGGATCTAGACTTTGAAACATAGAAGCTTAAAGAGTACAAACAAAAAAGTAATAAATGATTTCTAAAGGTTGAACTTGTAGAATTGAAAAATAGAAAATAGGGTAATTTTTCCTAACCAAATAGAAAACGGAAATCAATATGATTATTTCATGCAAATGCTGATGGCTGAATCAATGAATGTACAAGGTGGCAATTGTACCAACCAACCAAACCAAGCCTAAAGTCCCATCAAATGGGGTCCACTACATGAATCCTTCTTCTCCACGCGGCCCTATCAAAGGCCATTTCGTTAGTCAAATTAAGTAGATCCATATCTCTATTTACAAGGCTAACCAATGTTAATCTAGGCCTACCCCGTCCCCTAACACTTTCATCTATCGTTACAGCATCGCATCTCTTCACTACTGTCTCTGTTGGTCTCCGTTGAATATGACCAAACCATCTCAATCGATTCTCTTTCAATGGACAAATAGCTGCAGGCACAGGGCCTCATTCTGGGCTATTGGCCCGCATCTTGAAAGGAAATGAGCCACATGTTGTCTTGGATCTCCTGTTCCATCAAACATTTTGAAATCTGGTTGGGAAAAACCAGAAGGGAATGGAACAGCATCTACCCATGCTGGGTAAGGTTTTGTAATTATTCGAAAGTTCTCATCATCTTTTTCTTTGACTTTCTTTACTTGTCTCCTCACCATATCATCAATCATGGCCATGAACATTGGATTCATACCACCACTGGTTAGATCAGAGTAACAAGGACCATTGCCCCCTGGGGCTAGTGTACTTTGTATGCCTACAGATGTCCCCACAACAGGTTGTGTCGTTTGTTTGGGTGCACTTCCTGGTCCTGTCATTTGGGCCTGCGACTGTTGCATTTGCTCCAACATAGCAGCCATTTCCCGTTCTCTTCTCTCGAGTTGTTCCTGTAGGGCCACCACTTTTTCCTTGAGACCTTGGTCTTGCTGGACCTGCGAATTTTCACCTTCTTTCTCAACCTCAGTCATCATAACTGCGACTTTGTTGATATCTTTCAATTCATTGTTTCCAATATTCGTTGAAACAAACGAGATAGAATCATGTTGTTCGTATAAAGGATTATCAACCCCCACAACATTATTCATATTTGAAGCATCTGACTGCGATGCTTTGTTTTGAGCCTGACGGGTTATGGACCTTGTCACAGGCCCTTTTCTTATTCCCTCCATAGATAGTTCAACCAAAGTAGAAATATTTCTCAAGGGTTGCTTACCCTCATCCACCTTGGATTTTCCAACAAAGATAGGACTTTCAATTTGTTTTTGGGGTTCATCTTTCGAGAGAGCCCTTTCAATAGCTCCTATAACATTTGTTGCCACTGTTCTTAGTTCCAGTTTCTTTAAAGCTTTATTTCTTCTTCGCCTTTGTCTTTTCGAAACTGGACCGAATGACATATCAAGTTGAGCCCCTAAGGGCATAGAAGGAACCGTTTGTGCCTTTGCAAATTCCTCATGAATTTTCAAAACAGTCCCTACATTTTTAGAGTGGGTCAATTGATGTTGATTCAAATCCCGTTGGGCCAAAGGGTGTTTCTTATTCTGTTGGGCCAACAGGTGTTCCTTATTCTGTCGGGCCAACGGGTGTTCCTTATTTGAATCCTGTTGAGCCAACGAGTGTTCCTTTGGCTCCTGAGAGTTGACTAAGATTTGGTTTGACCGATTTTGTGCTCTGAACAGAACTATCGGTTTATAGGCATCAACTGTTTTTTCAACAACAGGGGCCTTTTTTCCATCAACAGAAGTTTGGGTCATTACCCTCCTCCCAATGGCCCTAATGATGGCCATGTTTTCAACAGAAGCTTTCTTCTGGGCAAACTCCACCATTTTAATGGAGTCTTCTACCCTTTTGAGTAGTTGGGCCACAACATTTTTGGTTGCCCCCGTTGAAGCTGCAACAAAAGTCGTAGTTGCAAACTGATTAGCCTCCTTTGCCTGAATTAAAAAGCTCTTCGTTCGGGCTGTGGCCCTCACAATTGCGTACTGCTTTGACGCTTTCACATAATCTTCAGTAATCTTTCTCAAACTTTCAGCTTTCTGGAGAAGTGTGACTTTTTTCGTCACACCAGTTACCTTCGGGACAGCCAAGAGCTTTCGCTCCGGAGCCCCTTGGGTGGCAGGGGAAAGAAGTGCATCTTTCCAGGATTTCGTTGACTCTACCTTTGGGACAGCCAAGAGCATTCGCTCCGGAGCCCCTTGGGTGATAGGGGAAAGAAGTGCATCTTTCCAGGATTTCGTTGACTCTACCTTTGGGACAGCCAAGAGCATTCGCTCCG